TGACACTTCCAGAAACAAACTTGCAAAGCTAAGGGGATGATTTTCATTCCACACTGCAAAATTAAATCCTTCTTGACTACGGATATCATCAGATGTGGAAAAAGATCAATCTTAAAATAAGTGCTGAACAGTAACCAGGCATATTTAGACACTCAGCTTTACTTACACAAGTAAAATTAAGTCCTGGTGTAAGTCTACAGAGTAGGGGAGCATGTGGCACAGTACTACCTTGCAGCTGGTAAGCAATATACGATTTCTTAAATACTTGCCTTGTTATTTTCAGCAATTTAGTTGCTTACATACCTGTGCAGTAACTCTCTGTTTCATTTTCAAACTGTCATCTATAGGTTATTATGCCCATAAGTGGAAAAGCTATTTAACACAACAGAGCCATCCAGTGACAAGTATGTTTTTTGACACAGCAGACAAAGAGCCATTTTGCAGTAAGTGACTAAGACTTCTGAGACGATTTTTCTTTGTGTATCACCTCTTCCAGCAACAACCAAGTCGAGATGGTTAGTTGCTATTAGCATCATAGCCAGCATTTTAGAAACAAAGTCAGTGGCTGCTGGATAGAACTGTGTCCGTCTGCACTCTTGCCATTACATCCTTTACCCGCAAACGTGCCTGTTGCTGTGAAAGCCGACTACTTGCTAGAGATGTGCAAGAACAGGCTCATCTTGCTTACAGTGCCAGGAAATTTGTTGAGAACATGTAAATGAAGCATAAAAGGGTAGTGCTTAAACTGTGCTTCAAAACAAGACACTGGTCTTTTGTGCAAGAGGTGTGTGGGAACAATAAGAGTCAAAGACATGCTCTGGGGTGAACAGGTAAAAAAGCTACCCTGGACAAAAGTGAAAGGCACGGGGAAAGGGCCCAGGCAAGGGAGAATCAGTGGAAAAAGGTTTCACCCTCATGATCACCAACACACCGAGCCATGGGCAGGGATTACGGCCCCAGCTCCAGTGCTGGTCAGCAAGTAAATTCTGTGAGTTACAGATCAGAGTGAAGAGCAGACACTTCTGCTCCGTGACAGGGAAGACAAATGAAAGATGCTGAGAACAGAAATGAAGGGAATCACAGGTAGACAGGAGAAAGAAAAGGCAGTCTGGAAATGACTGGTGAAAGGCAGCGTGCTGAAAGAGGTTCAGAGAGACCATCTTGCACGCCGCTTGTGTAACCCTTGTTCTAGTGCTTTCCCAGACACGTCAATATTTCTATCAGAAATCTCTCCAAAGGAAGATGGCAAGCAGGAAGGAGAAAGAAATGTTAGAGTTAAATTGAATGGGTTGTGTCAGATGAGCAAATGGGAAAAAGATGTACTCCACCTGCAGCTCAGATCCCAGACAGGCACACAGCGTGTGGAGTCTAACCATGCTTGCTTTCTCTCTCACCTCAGTTTATCACTATTTTGTGGATATTATTACATGGAACAGAGACACCAGAAGAGGCACCTTCAGCATTGTATTAGCTGATGAAACTGGGAAGACAGCAGAATCTAAATTTAATCCGTAAGTCTTACCGATCTGATGATCTGTAAATGTTAGCAAATCACTTGGTATAACTGGATCTGGGAGGAGGCAAGATATCCTCCTCTAATTTCTCTGCAGATAATTGATAGCTTACGTGCCTTAGGACTTTCCTGGCCCTATGTGATTTCACAGGCTCCCCCAGTGCACACCATTTGACAACCCACCCCTTTGGTTTGGACCCTTCCCAATCATCTTAAGGACTAAAGTGGACAATCTCAGCCAGTGGCACAGCTGTCCTAGGCTTTCATTAAAGCAGGAGGAAAAATGTGTCTCCCCCTCTTTCCTTCACTTTCCTGGGAGTGTTCTGTTCCAGCTCCAGATGCCCCAGACAGCTGGGATTAACCTGGACCTGAATATGTAACATCCAGGTCCATTCATTCCCTTGGAGATGCAAATTAATGACTGGTGTTTACCTGGACATGCAAATTCCTGACTGATCTAAACAGACTTCAGCCAAACAAGTCCTGCTCAACTAGTTTTCCCAAGTGTCTCTAACTGCATATTCTCTCAGTCGTATCTGGAGCAATCTGCACAGCTCTGGGTAGCTGCACAACAGGACCACCCGCTCTTGCCCACCGTGTGGCAGCCCTCCGGGCAGCACGCTTACACACACACACACACCTCAGAAACACCCCTGGCAGGTCAAAACTCATCCTATTTGTCAGGCCTCCTAAAACTTCTAAACGAGGCCTGTCATTTTGAGTGTTGCAACCAGGATACAGTTCCAGTCACACCTGCACGCTTCACCTTCATAAGGGAAACCTTAAACTATGGCCATACAACCAGCTACACAAAGAACGTGTGGTGTGGCCACGGCGTTCTTGCGAGCAGCTCTGCTGCTTCTGCACCGAGACTGGTGCAGTTTTCATGCGTATCTCAAAGTGGAACTAGCCATTCTGCCAAAAAGGACCAAGGTCAAACCCCAGCCCAGAGAGGCTTCCCAGCTTTAAGCCTGTGCTATTTTCCTATTCTGAGAAGCTGGATTACTCTCCGTCAATTCTGGTCAATGCTGCATTGCTTCACAGACACTTCTGTTGCATTTGCCAGATGAGAACCACCAGAAATTTAGTTAAGGGCACTAATATCCCTAAGGTGCACAGCCTTCCATTTGTAGAGTTACCTCAGCCATACAGCATTATTACAAGCAGATTTTTGTATACAGCAACATATTCTGCAAACTCCACGATGACTCAGCGTTCGGCTCTGCACAGACAGCCAGGTACAAACATCATTGGGGTCTAGTCTACTTGGGTGCAAAGCAGCATCACAGTGAGAATTCTGCTTTGGGACCAGAGCAAATGGCATCACACCTCTGTGTCCCCACTCCTACCCCAAATAACTGAGTGCAAAAGTGCCTGAGCAGGCTCATACCTGAAGACCTGAATCCATTCTCATTTCCTGTAAATCAGAAACTAATCATAAGTTCAGTCCTCCTCCCTCGGCGCTGTTTCTAATATTATACTGAATATATTAAAAACGGTGCTATTCCCTTGGTGACTCTCTGCACGTTGTCTGCTTTATCTTTAGAGAAGCTGCAGCCTTTCAGCAGTACAACCAAATCACTTTGCTAATTGGATTTGACCAGGATTTTGAAAAGGTAGAAAGAATTTCCTTGACATTTTCCACAGGATCTGTCACTGGCCCAAAATTCAAACTCAGGATTCTCCAGATGAGGTTCCGGTCACTTACAAATCCAGAAAGGTAAGCAGAGGTTTACAAACTATTTCTATTGTTGCAGACTTAACAGAAACAAATTAATCTCCCAGATTCCTGTCCTGGCTGAGTTTGTCCAGAAGAATTAGATTTATTTCACATTTAATACTTCTTTTACACGTATCTTGGGAATAAATTCCGCCCTTAGTGCATGCACACAAATCCCACAGCTGAATACCTACTTGAACACAGAGGTTGCCTTGTTGTACTGAAAACATGTAATTAGTGGTCTGACTCTGATGTGGTCTGACATTTTAACCGTTGCTCAGGAAAATGACCTTTGAGAAGCTGCCCGGGCCTGAACTCTGGGCTGAAGGTAAATGCAACTCTCAGGGAAAGACAGATTGTCCAGCCCCAAATACGTATTTTATATCCCAGTCTATTTCCAGTCAAGCAGGGAAATTAATTTACTCCTGGAATTCCAGTAACTGGAGAGCTGCTGGCTGCTATGCCCCAAAGCACTGACTACTGCCCACAACATCATGAGGTACCTACCCAGTCATTTGCTGATGAGACTTCTACAGCTGCTTCAGTCACCTTGTTAGCCTCTCTGTGCTCTTCAGTCCTACCCTCAAGCTTCCCTGATTTCTAGGGCACCTTCAAAGGACAAGATCTCTGCCTGAGCTCAGCAAGTACAGCATCTCTCAGGTTGACCTTGTATGCAAGGACCGTATGTGGACATCAAGCCATACCATGCTTTACACTGGGTTTAAAACAAGGATTGCACATCACAAACTGAGAAGGGTGAAGCAAAAAAAGGACAGAGCTGCAGACCATGTTTCTTTGCAGTTTGTTATCATTATCTTAGCCTTGGAATAAGTAAAAGATTGTGTAAGTCTAATAAGCAAAGTCCTTCTGCAGCTCCCCCTTGCTGACACTTCCTTTCTCATATCCTGCATCTTCACAGTCGCTTCCAGCCCCAGATCCGCATTCAATCATTTAAAAAGTAGATGCAAATACCCAAACAATCAGAGGCTGTCCACTCTCCCCTAAGAGGGGCTGCTACAGGCTATGCATACAGTTTTATGACTAACACTGTTAAGCAATCAGTCACTGCCACGGGGAGGGATGTCCTGCCCTCTCTCCTTCCCTTTTCCAGGGCTAGTGCTCATGTGGCCCCAGGTGAAATCACAAGTATTTCCCCTGTTTTTTGGCTGGGCTAACTCTAAGCCAGATCAGTGCCTGGTCCCAGCTCAGAGCAGCGGCACAACCCCTGATGCTGACCCCAGGGAACCGTGAGGAACACGAGGGGAAGCTGGAAGGGCCACCCCATTCGGTGAACACATTAGTGTAGGCTGGCCTAAAGGGAACCCTGAACTCTGTACCCAACACCTCAGTTTGCTTTCTGGCTTTTGGTTTGTTTTTTTTTTTGTTTTTTTTTTTTTTTTCATACAGAAAAGCAAAAGACAATGTAGAGCAGAATGAAAATATGCTCATAGTATCCCTCACCTCGGTAAGGTTTGAAGTGAACCTACAGTAAGGTTGACTTTAAGCCAGTTGTCTTGAGAATGTGACTTACTTTACGCAAGCCTGGCTGTGGGATGATACAAGAAAGGCCGGGTTTTCACTTTGGGCTCGTGTTGACTGTTTTTATGCAGACCACAGCTGTGCAGATACGACCTCATCCTGATGGAGAACACCAAAAAAACCTTCAAGCCCATCCCGTGCTAGAGCAGGCGCTGAGACCCCAAGGCGTTGCTTCAGAAGGCTGTGTCTCAACGTGAGGAACACTTCCACGGCCACAGGGAGACTCACCTGAACGCCCCTCAGCGCTTTCTGTGGAGACCAAAGCGACACGGCAGCGGGGCCCTCTTGTCAACGCAGAGATTTATAAACGGGGATGTAGAAGTGACAAAAAAAAAAAAAAAAAAAAAAAATGGGGTGGTGTGTATTTTGACGTATACTGCCGCGGCGCGGCGATGTGTATTTTGACGTATACTTCCGCGGCGGAACCGCATTACCGCCCAGGGCAGAAGAGGATCCGGCCGGGCCCTCAGGGGCCGAACCCTCCGCGGCAGCACCGCCCCGCGCCTGCGCGTCCCGCCGCGGGGCCGGGGCCGGGGCCGGGAGGGGGACCGGGACCGGGGCGGGGACCGGGACCGGGGCCGGTCCCATCGCGGGATGTGGCGGCGGCTGGCTGGCTTGCTGCTCGCCTTCGCGGCCTCCACGGCCGCCCTGTGGCTGCTGTCGGCCCGGCTGAGCGCGGGGCAGGCGCGCAGGTGGGTGCGTGGGGCGAGGGCGAGGACGAGCCGCGCCGGTGCTACCGGCTCTCTTCGTCTCCTTCTCCCTTCACCGCCCCCCTCCTCCTTCTCCCTTAGGCCGCTGCGGTTCCCGTCGGACCTGGAGGAGCTGCGGGAGCTGGCCGAGGCGCTGCGGGACTACGAGCGGCAGCACCGGGGCGCGGCGCTGGCCCTTTTCTGCGCTGCCTACCTCTACAAGCAGAGCTTCGCCATCCCCGGCTCCAGCCTCCTGGTACGGCGGGGCTGGGGCGGGGGGGCTGGGACGGAGCCCTCGGGGGGGCCCGGTGCCTTGCAGGGTGATTCCCTGCGAGGAGAAGGAGGAGGAGGAGGTGGGTCTCCCCGGTGCCTGAAGGCTGAGGGGACACACACGTGTCTGTCCCCTCTCCGGGCTCTCACTCGGTGTCGTGCCCTGGCAGAACGTCCTGGCTGGAGCGCTCTTCGGGCCGTGGACTGGGCTGGTGCTGTGCTCGGCCCTGACGTCTGTGGGAGCGACCCTCTGCTACCTGCTGTCCGGGGTGTTCGGGAAGCAGTTCGTCATCTGCTACTTTCCTGATAAAGTGGCTCTGCTGCAAAGAAAGGTGAGCAGCCGTGGTTCTGCAGACACACAGAATGCCCCCCAGGGTGAGGCCGCCTTTTGGGTTGACTTAGTGAAAAAATGAACGTGTGCAGGGGATGCATCAGGTCAGTAAAGGGCCCCCTCTGAGGCAATCTAGCAGCAAGCCTGTTTGCAAGGGGCCTGCGTAGGAAATCCCAAGGTAATCAGAATGTAAGATAATGATCGGGAAGCCCCCCGTCTTCCAGAACTGCCCCCACCCCTCCGGTGCTGCATTGTACAGCTGGAGGTGGTTCTGCTGTTGACTTCCTGATCTCTCATTCACGTTAGATCCCACTTTCACCACTTCTGTGGAAGGAGCCAGCTCACCTTTAGGCTCCCATACATACATAAAGTTGCCACTTTTCATCAGTTCTGGACTGATGATGCTGTGGCATGTTAGAAGAAAGCTCATATCCACTGTAGTGTCGTGGCTGTTCAGATGTTGCTGCTGTCTGAGGAGCAGAAATAATTTGGAATGTTTCTCTTGGCAGGTAGAAGAGAACAGGAGCTGCTTGTTTTTCTTCCTGTTGTTCCTGAGGCTGTTCCCCATGACACCAAACTGGTTTCTGAATCTCTCCGCTCCCATTTTAAACATCCCTGTGTCCCAGTTTTTCTTCTCCGTTCTCATCGGTACGGCCGGGGACACTGAGGGGCAGTGTGACACTGCCTCTCCTCATCACCGAGCCTCGGGTAGTGTGCTGACCTGGGGAAGGCAGAGGGCAGGGGTGGAGCTGTGACTCTGTCCCATTTAATTCTTTGCCTTTGTGCTGCCCTTATACTCAGAGGTCTCAGAGCATTTTGCAAATATGTGTGTGTCACCAATGCAGCCGAGTTTTGAATGGCACCCCGTTCTTTCTGTTATGAACATGGACCCCTGTGTCTGGCCTTGGGCAAGAGAATATTTGAGCTCGTTTTACAGGGTGGGGGGTGCTAACAGGCTTTTTTCTGCTCTGATTCTTTCAGGTCTTACACCATATAATTTCATCTGTGTGCAGACAGGAGCCATTCTGTCGCAAATTAACTCTTTGGATGCCATTTTCTCCTGGGACACACTGCTCAAACTGCTTGCAATGGCTGTGGCAGCATTGATACCAGGGACACTCATCAAGAAGTACAGCAAGAAGCACTTGAAGCTGGATGAAGAGAAGCATGCTCCGTTCCTCAATGGCAAAAAGAGCTTGTGATGGCCCGGGTGCCCCGGCTGGTGGGGCACTGCCTCACAAAAGCTGCAGGTCTCTCTTCCTGTGGGTTATATTCTGCATGCACTGTGCCATCAGGGACCAAGGACAATTGCAGTTTTTAATTGTTCTTCTCGTCTAAGAGGAGGTGTAAGGTTCATATTTTTAATGAATGTTTAACTGTGCATGGATCTGCACGCAGAGCGCTATACAGGGGCTTTGTGACCACTTCAGTGAATTTGCCTCTTTCCTTTAAATCAGCCCGAGTTGCCAGTGTGCCTGAGGGGGTTGCCAGCCCACTGCAACTCTATTAGCAATGGGGGTGGGGGGGAAATCAGGAGTATTAGCATCCCCTGGGGAAGGTAAATCCGAACCCCTTAGCTCGGGAATGCAGCGGGGCCAAGGGCCGTGCTCCCTTCCAGCCCGGGTGGTGTGGCTGGGGCAGCATACGGAGCCGTGTGGAGCTCTGGCAGCAAAAGCCTTGGCTCTTTTTTTACCACCACAGCATTTCCCAACTCTAGGAAGGAAAATACTCCCTCCTCCCTCTGCCTTCTCCAAACCCATACTTACTTAGCATTTTTTGGCCTAAAATGACAAACCCTGAACTTCTGTGCTGCAGTAGTACAAGTACCAAGTTGGAAAAAAAAAAAAAAGTGATGATGTTTCAGGGTCCCTGCTCCTTCTGTAGCAGAGCTTCCCCAGATGCAGAAGACCCTTTCATTCAGATGTTAATTAAGCGCACGCTGCAGCAAAATTGGTCAGGGTCGGGGGCCAGCTATGAGCTGTCTGGAGGGAGCACGTGTCAGAACACACAAGGGAGGTCTGTCAGTGGCTGTTCCTCCTCACAAAGGCTAAAGTGGGGATGGGAAAAAGCCTGGCTGTGCCCGACTGGCAGGGATTGGCCCTTGAGAAACACCTCTAGACCTACACATTTGCTCCTGTATAACTAGGTTTCCAAATAAGCAGGTGGGCTCTGTCCCAGTCGCTGGAGAACAGCAGCCCCCAGGGATGATGGGGTTTGGTATTTGCACCCCCCTTGCTGTACTCTCCTCCACTCAGAGGATAAAGTAAACTTTATAGCGTGGCAGGAGGCAGATAGGAGACCGTGCAGCACTCGGGAACCTGACAGTATCCATTTTAGCACTTTCCCCACCCAGCAGGGCTGAAAGTGACTGGGACAGCAAGGTTCCCGGGATGGGAATGTTGCAGATTCAATCCCCAGCTCCCACTGCAAAAACCACTCCTTTGACAAGAGGAAAAGCCAACTCTTGGGAACATCTGGGTGCTTGGTAGGCTACATGTGTGCGACCAAGCCTCTGCCCTGCTACTTGGAGCTCCCAGTAGTTCCAGTTCAGCTGGGGTCAGGGACAGGTAACAACAAGCTGCTCGCTAAAATTGTGTCAGTTATTAAAAGGCTTCGTGACATTATCCCAAAGTATGTGAGAAACCATTCCCAGATCACCAAACCAGCCTGAGAAGCGTTGAAGTACACTGGCTTTTTATTCCATGCATTGTTTGCTTTGATAGTCATTCTTGTTTCCATCACTGTACACTGTTCAATACAAAAAAAAAAAATCAAGTTTGTATCAGGAATCCGCAGAGCAAGGAGGAGAGAGATGAACACTACTGGACAGGGCCAAGATGAAATGGTTACTTAACACGACAGTGGGAAAGGCAACGTTCAGCTCTGGGGGGGGAAATCTAGGCTAGTGCTCAGGAGCTGTCAGCAGCCATGAGAACGGCAGCAGGGGAGGCGGGATGCTGAGAAGGGAACCCAGGGTTGACTCGTGTCACTGCGAGGAGGAAGCGGGGCCCGTGGACACCCCCTGCCCCATCCCCTGCTGGGAGAGGCAGTGCCAGGAACCCATACAGCGAGGGGGAGCTGGTGCCTGTGTGCGATTCTGGGGAGGTTCCACTAAGGAAAATGCCCATCTGACTCCCGGCAGAACTGACAGCGCCCACCCCAGGAGCGTGGAGGGGCTGCTGAGCCCCCACCCTGCCCACACAGAGCCGTGGGCACGGGGGGTGTGGGCAGGGGGAGGGGGATTACAGCTCCACGGATGCAGGGTTGTGTGTTTAGGCAAGAAAGGGGCAGTCCTGGAGGGACACTGCTGGACCCTAACAGTGCGCTGACCTGGGCGTGGAAAGAAATTAAGAGCTACGTGTGGCTAGAGCTAAGGGTGGAGGGTTCAGCTCCGCTTTTCCCAGCTGCAGAACGGGCTGGGGTGTCCCCGGGGAGGAATCGGCACCCACCTGGGCCAGCTGGCCCAGAAGGGGCCCAAAAGCCCACACAGCCCTGCGAGCCCAGAAGAGCTTCCGCGCATGGTGGAGGAGCTCCGAGCAGAGAGCACCAAAACCCCTCGGGGAGCTTTTTGTTAGGGACCGACTCGTGGCAGATGGAAATCTCCGCACGGAGACTCAGGGAGGCTCAAGCCAGGTCTGCTTTGGGCCTGCTGCTGTAGGGCTGCCCTGGGAGGCCAGTGCTGCCCACAGAGACCCGTGGGCAGCGCAGGGCCGGGGGCTGGGCTGGCATTGTGCTGCCCGCAGGTGGTGAACTCGGGAAGCCGGCCCCATCCGAGCAGCAGAGTGTCTCCAGGGGCGTAAGGCCCGGCCTCCGCTGCTGCGGGGGACGGTTGGGGGTAGTTCTCAACCTCTCTTTATGCAACAGTTTGGTCTTCCTCTTCGCGTGCGTATGCAACACGTGCATGGTTCTCCACTGCTAAATTCCTGCCTCCCAGCCTCCTGAGTAACCACCTGCACCACCAAACCCCCTCTCACACCACGACAGCAAAGCCACCTCTGGCCCTGCCACCTCCTCCTCCTGCTGCTGGCCGAGAGACAGAGAACAATCTGGGAGGAAAAATGAGGGATGGGGAGAGAGAGGAAACAAGACACAAGCCAGGAAAGAGCTTCACTCCCCAGGGCATTCTGCTCTACCCAGAGCCGAGTATCACTGCGGCAGGCAGGGGTGAGCTGGTCGCTCCCTCTCCTCTCCAGCAGCCTCCTGGCTCTTGCACGGGTTGATCCAACACGTGGATCCACTGCTGGCCATCCCCGATCTCGTACCCACTGCCCGGAGCAATCGCCCTCCCTCTGCGCTCGTCCTTTTGGATGCTCTTGCCAGGGGATCTTGTGACAGTTACGCCCTTTGTGATCGATTCAAAAGCCACTCGCTCCCTGATCACCGTTCCGCACCAGCTCAGGGGCTGCCAACTCTACGGGCGACACAAGCAAATTGCAGCATCGACCCCGAGGGCCATCTCAGGGCCCAAGGGGCTGCCTGCATCCTTCCCTCTCGGACCGGCCTTGACAGGTTCTCTAGCATCCTTGGAAATCACGAGAGGCAGCAACTACTGACAGCTGCTGAGAACAGCTCTGCTCCCACCCCCCCAGCGACCAGGGAGAAGGTAACATCACACGAACAGATTACAGTTGTGCTAGTGGTGAAGCCAACCTTCTGATCTACAGAAATTATAATAAATAATAAAATAACATCATAACTTAAGATCTGTGTGTAGTCCAGCTACAAAAATTTAAAAATATGGGATAATTTAACTCATACAATACTGCTCTCTGTATAAGTAAGACATTTTCCTTCATTTTGCCATGAGGCTATAAATTACCACAGTTAAATTCAAACCGATATTTTAACATAAAATGTAAACAAACAACGCAACAGAAGTACCTGTCCATGGTCCATTCCTGCCGTTCACCCCAGGCTGGTGTGCCAGTCTGCAGAGCAGCACCCAGCAGCGCCACGCGCACGTGGCACAGCCGCGCCAACCAGCACGCCAGCAAGGGCAGAGTGAAAGCTCTTGCAGGGGGACATCAACTAAGGTGGTGGTGGGGAGGTGTGTGTGTGTGGGGGGAAACGTGCTCTATCATTTTGTTCTCTTTAAACATTGATTTAGAAGAGTAGTGTTTGAAGGGAAGGCACTATGAGTTCTATCAGAAAACAAATTTTTCTCATCTGCCAATGCCTTGGCCTGTCACATACCAGTACTGTCCTCACTTTCACCTGCAGAGTTTCAGCTTGAAGGAGAAACAGGGGCCTCGGGGTACACCCGAGACACAGCTGTGCCACAGCCACCATCCAGATTCCCCGGGCAACCTGTTTTGCACAAAGCCTGACATGAAGGGCAGGCAGCTGTTAATGCTTTCAAGAATGTACAGTGAATACAGAGACAGAGCAGGGCTGAAGCTCTTCTCTAGGCCAGTGATTCCCAGTCTTCCCCCTCAGCACACAGCTCTCTGCTGGTTATCAATGCTGTTGTAGGTGAGAGACTGCTTCTCCGAGTCCAGTACAGGCATCTCCAGTTTCCTCCCCAGAAGAGTGCTCAGGCTCTGCAGAATGTGCTTTCCACCGTTTGCGAGTTCTTGCTTTTCCAACACTGATTTGATTGATTTCTTTGACTGACTGAAACGGACAGGAGGTAAGAGGAGGAAGTAAACTGGGAAATGGCACACTGCATCTGAAAGAGGTTTCCCTGCTCAACTGGAGATTGACACTGCCAGAGTGAAGCAAGGATGATGTTAAGAAGTGCTCTTATACCAATTCTCGAGAGGACGAGGTTAGAATACATTTGCAGGATCTCACAACAATATGCTGATTAAAAAAAAAAAAAAAAAAAGAAACTAAAAATCCTTAAAATAAAACCCACTAGTACATTCCTGGGGACGTATCGACTCAGAAGACCCTGGATGTTAGCACCTTGGTACCAATTTTCTCCAGGAACATGTCCACCTTCTGATTAAAAGTGACCCAGCTGGTTATACTGAATACGCTTTGTTCACAGGTTACCCTATAGTAAGGTCTTTTTATGCTTGCTCATTTGATAAGACTGAGTGGTTTAGTTTTCTTGATCTGTTCTCCAATCTTCAGGGCCACAAGGCCTGGTCCCCTGTGAAAGCAGCAAGAGAATCCCCCCGCATTCGTACACAAAGCTGTCCAGGCAGGACTCCCAGGATGTTTCTCTGTAATGTGCTTGCTTTCTGAATTATTTTTTTTTTTGCAACAAGTCTGTGTGTCTATAAATACAATCCACTCTTTACAGTAAAAAGTGTTAAAATGTCAAAAAAATAAATATCCATGTTACAGTAACTAGATTATTCAATAAAATACATCCCTGCCATTCTTGATTGAAATGCTCAAAGAGAATTAATTTCATTTGGACATTTTCCAGAGATTCGGGTTATTGCAAATCACTCCTGGGGTGGGAAGGAGAAACATCTTCTCTTCCTGTAAAGTGTGATGAAGGGGAATGAAGTGGAATCTCAGGGAAATCAAAATGCCAGTATCAGGAAGCTTTGGGGGAGATCTGTATTACCAAGTAGCAGAGCTGCAGGGCTTATTGGTCCTGACTGTGGCATCAGAACACTCCCCTTCAGAAGAGTCACAGTCTGATTCTCCAAACTGTGCTGGGTTCTGCAAAGCAAAAGGAAAAGGGAAGACCTGAGCAACATTCCTGCACTGCAGGATCAACCACACCATCCCAAAGTGTAACAGCAGACAGGCAAAGGTCACTGCCAGCAGAGGAGAGCCTGGCAGCACACAGAAGGTACACAACGGCACACAATCGCCCTGCCAAAGGTCACTTGTCTCCCCTCAAGAAGGGGAGAGCAGAAAAATATCTGGTCAGGGCACTACCAAACACAGACAGAGTTATAAGATGGTGCAGCAGGCTCTGCCCTACCCCTCCCAAACACCTGAAAGACAGTAAAAGGAAGAAAATAATTCTAGCTTAGCCAGCAAGGCTGCTGATGGGTAAGTTTGAGGCAATTTATATCCATCCCATTTCATTATCTATTTTATCTGCTATTTTTTATTCCACTTAATGCAACTGCAAATCTGATGGCATCCCAATATCACACTCATCTTAACTGGCAAATTACGTTCAGCTTTGTGCTGCTTTCCCCTGTCTAGTCATCCGGCCAAGTATGAGAAATACTGGGTATTTAAGCAGTTACTTTGCTGTAGTACATCTACCACAGCATCTCCTAGGGAGTTATACAACTTTCTGGCCCTTGGATTCGTTTCCATAACATTTCTTTCTTTATTTTTACGCAACAGAAGGAAGAGGGGATAACTAAACTAACAGCTCACCTCACAGCTGTGTTCATCTGCACAAAGTTTGCCCAGAGACATCTGAGTCTTGACTCTCCGCACAGCGCACTCTTTGTCTGAAAGCCCATCAGACTGGGTGGAGATTTCAATGGGGATCTCTGGAGTCTGGGACAACATGTCCTCCAGCTTCTCAGCCAGTTCATCTTCCAGCTTCGTGGCCAGCTCATCCGGGCTGTTCGAATGGTCGCTTGTATTCCCCTCCTCTCCATCTGACACGGAGAAGTTTTCCGAGCTGAAGGTTGAGTAGGACTGGCAGCTACTAATGCAGCGGTGAGGTCTGCAAACCAGAAGAGTAATTCAGTTTGTATCACAGTTCCTCTCATTGCAGTGGAAAAGCAGTTTCCTGGGTGCTGTGTTCGGCTACTCATTGTGTTGGGTTTGTGTACGTGGCTGGGTTTTGGTAGCAGGGGAGGGGCCTACAGAGGGGTGGCCGCTGCGAGAAGCTTCTCAAAAGCTCCCCCAGCTCCAAGTCAGACCCATCTCTGGCCATGGCAGAGCCAATTAGTGATGGTGGCTGCGCCTCTGTGAGAACATAATTAAGAAGGAAAACGTTAGAGGGGGTTGGGACTTGTGAGGAAGAGTTATGAGAAGGACACCTATGCTAAGACCAATGTCAGTGGAAGGAAGGGGCAAGGGGGGGAGGGATGGAAGGGAGATGCACCAGAGCAGAGCCCCCTGTACGCTGTGGGGAGATGGCAGGGCCACCCCCTGCCACCCATGGAGGTCACCAGTGGGTAGAGGCTGACCTGAAGCCTGTGGAGGAGCCCACACCAGGGACAGGCGGCTGCGCTTAAAGGAGGCCGGGACTCTGAGGGGAGAAGCAGCCCCCGCTGTTGTGGATCGGCACTGGGAGGACTGGAACACGCAGGGGGGACCCACGCTGGAGCAGCTCGGGAACAGCTGCGGCCCGTGGGGAGGACTCACTGCAGAGAAGGTTCGTGGAGAACTGTCTGCAGTGAGAGGGGAGCCCCGTGGAGCAGGGGAGGGATGTGCAGCGTTCCCCCCATCTCCTGAGCAGGGAGGAGCAGCGAGCTGGCTGTGACCCCCATCCCCTGCCCCTGCACTGCTGGGGGAGGAGGGGGAGAGATCGGGAGCACAGCTGAGCCCGGGAAGAAAGGAGGGATGGAGGGAGGTGGTTTTTGGATGTGGTGGCGCTTCTCACTGTCCCACATTATCTGTTAAGTGTTGTTATTGTTAGTCTCTGCATAAAAGTGATGTTCTTTTTTTTTCTTTGCCCCATGACCTGTAATGGGTGAGTCACCCCTCCCTGTCCTTATCTTGATTCCGGAGCCTTCTACTTTATTTTCTCCTTCCCATTCCTGAGGGGTAAGGGGTGAGTGAACAGCTGCGTGATGCTCAGTTGCACTCTGGGCTCAAACCACACCACTCTGCTCTACCTGGCCTTGACAGATCCCACTTCTAGTGCCCACTCAGCCCCAGGTAAGCCTGTCCCCAGGAGCCCACTGCCAGCTAGAAAAGTTACAGCTTCTAAGTGGACAGGCTTCTGCGTGCACTCTCACTGCACAATGTAAGAATAAGCTGGCAAGCCAGCACAGCGTTAGTTTGAACACAGGGAGCTCTGTTTCTGACACGTAGCATGTCCTTTGAGACACATATCACAATCAAAACCCTCACGTTAGTAGTGTGCAGTGAATGTGGAGTGGCTGCTACATCCTTACACAGGTTTCCCCGGCTTCCTTTCTGAAGCATGCAATGCAGAAAACAGATTTTTGCTTTTAAGTGTCATCTTCAGCACAAGAATAGGGCTTGCTCGCTGTAACAGGCAGCCCAGGGTGCTCAATCCTGTTCTTCCTAGCAGATATTGCTCAGGCACAGTGCACACAATACTGCCCAGCTGCTTCTCCACACTGGGCTAAGGGCTTAATCCTTCCAAAAATGTCTTTGAGCAAAATAGGTCCTATCCCTAGAAAAAGCTTTACATCAACTCTCCAAGAGCCTCTTCCCACCCTAGGAACACATCTCCAGCTGAGTCATAACTGATCTGCAAGGCTGGCAGCAAGAGCTCTTCAAAGTGTTGGGCTGCCTTTCACATCTCGGAGCTATGGAAATCTACCACCTTTTGAATGATTTAGTTCAAGATCTGCATCTTTAAATTAATCTGTTCTTATTTGGTCTTGCCTGCTACACGTTCACATTAGCTGACCTACCCTGGAGCGTATTTTTCTTCAACAGTCTTTTTTTGTAAAGAAAGGCTGTACCGTAGGGTTCAAGCTAATTCAGCTGGGAATATCAGCATCACCTGGCAGTGATCCCAACAGCCAGGCTAGAATTTAGATATGTGCGCTCAGAAAACTAAGCTCAGTTACCTGAATGTGGAAACTGCCTCATGCCAGGATTCAACAGTAATCGGACAACGTATCTGTTGACTGAACACGCCAGGAGACCCACAACAGGTCATCACATTGAATCCAGGAAAGGCGAGAGTTGTCTTCCGAGTTAGTAAATCACAGAAAAAGCAACAATCACACAAGAACCATGAGTCAGAAAACTCATCTAGCCCTGCATTCTGTCTCCAACCCCAGGCAGGAAGAAATAATCTGGGAAAAGTATGAGAACAGGGTGTGCAGACAGAGCCTGCTTTCTCCTGGCATATCTTTCTGGTTTGTACCATTCGGTAAATCAGACTTCTGAGCTGAAGATCAACCCTGGATGACAGTGCTTAGCAGCCATGGATGGATCTATACTCCATAAATTTAACACTTATGACTTGTTTATGTTTTGATTTCCACCGCATACCTTGGTAACGAGCACCACATCCGAAAATGGTTTGTGTGGAAAAAGCACCTCCTTTTGTTCATTTTAAATCTCCTGTTTGCTTCTCTAGGTGTCCCTAACCTGAATGTGAGGAATCATTCCTTGTCTGTTTTCTCCACATAAATTACAATTTCATGCATCTCCAGTATCGCCTCTCCTCCTGCTAGACAAACATTTCTCAGGGATTTAATCTCTTCTTCTGTGGAAACCATCTCTAACCATACCTGTCACACTTCTCAGTACCTTTTCAAATTTTACCATGGTCTTTGAGGTGGGGCAATGAAGGTGGCATTTAGGATTCAAGCTGCAGGTGTGCCATGGATGTATACAACAGCAGACAAGCTTTTATTTTCCTCTCTGATCCTTTCCTAACAACCTTTAACCTATTTGCCCACTGGATCACTTCTGCACTTCGAGCAGCTGCTTTCATAAAGCTACAGCACCAGTTCCGTGATCTCTTTCCCGAGCACAGGACTATAAAGCCTGCTAAGCCTAAGCCTTAGGTAGGAATGCCCCCTCAAGTCTTATTTTACAGGCAACACCACCAAATTTGATCTGCCTTGTTGTCCCCTAGCTCTTCAATCCTATTTGAATTCAACTGCAAACATGCTGCACTCTGCTCTGCTGCAGCAACAGTTAATAAACAACATCTGAAAGAGTCCACAAAGGGTCCCAACGTCCAGCAAGTCTGTTTCTGGTGAAACAGATGCAGCAGCTTATTTTTATAGGCTGAATAACATTATCAAGTGTGGTCAAGTTGTGCTACAAACAGACTGCTGCAGAAAAGCTGTGCCAGAGATAACATCTCAGAACAGGCTGAAAACAGTGAGTGAACATGAGGGATCAGCTGACGGTGGATGACACGCGCTGAATGCGATTCTGTTCTTTTGTCAGCACCCTCCACAGTTTCAATGCTGGTGTGCAGCTGCTACGACAGTTCTCCTCCTGAATTTTGTCTTATGGAAGAGAGATTAGAGCGAATTCACCTTTTACCTTTGCCTACGAGGAAACTCCACTTCACTGTCTACTTCGCCCTCTTCCTCTTCTGAAGAGTCATCACCGCTCTGGCGGAAAACAAGGAGAATGGCATCACATTTATGAAAGAGCAAACATGCAACTACGTGGTTGCCCCTTGGTCCTCCAGGACAAAGTCACCATGTCAATGGGCTGCAACAATCTAGACAAGAAAATAAGCTGCGTATCAGTGAAAACGGACTCAGACATCTTCTTACCAGAAGATTATTTCAGACAGTCTTAACTCTGCCATTTCTGAATTTGGAGCAATTGACTTTGAAATACACTGGAGTACTTTAGCAGGCACTGAGTACATAACGTTCTGTATTTTTACAGAAGCAAATCAAGTAATTAGTATGATACTGAAATCCACATAAATTATTGAGCTGATCTGGCACTCTTGGCTTTATGACTCCGGCCCTCTTCTATATGAGCCCATCACAGAGCAGGATGGGGGATGACACAGCCTTTGCTGGTGGGTTTCACCAACTAGGAAACTTTGCAGTTTTGTTCCCTACTTCAGTGACCACAGAGCCTTTTATTCTCCTTTTCCCATCCAAATCCACCCCCTGTACTCTTTGTTTTTACAGCCCTCCTTCTATCCTATCCAACCTGCCAACTCCTTGTTCAGACTCAGCCTCTGTCTCATCCCATCCCTTTGCAATACGAGATCCTCCTCCCTTCATTCAGGGCCCAAACCACACATTTGGTCTGGTGCTCATCCTCTTTTCCTTCACTTTTCCACCCAGGCCCAGATTTCCCACTCTTTGAACTCCATTCAGACTGGTTCCTATTTCTCTCCCCACCTGGACAGAAGCAGGAAGAATGAAGAACTCTTTCTGTACAACTGTGCCATGACATCTTTTTGACTCTTGCAAAACCTTCACAAAATACATGAGAACTGTTACTTTCAGTCAAGGTGGACAGTTTCTGGCAGGTGCAGCAAAAGGCATGTCCCCAAGCCTATGGCAAATGTTGAATTGCTGTTCTGAGGCACAGCAGCAGGTGTTCTCAAAGAAACTGTTACATGATACTTAACATCACCAAAAGAATGCATTTACCCATTTTGTTCTTTTGATAAAGGCTTGAAAACACTTTGGGACGGTTTCAAAAACAGAAATTCAGTAGACCAAGTTTCAGCTCAAACAAAAACTGGCTAAACTGGAAGTAATTGAACCACATTTGTATCAAAACCACATTTGACAACCCTCATTAGCAGTCTGCTCCAACATGCCTACAGCACTTCTCAATAAAATTGACTTTTAAAGTAGGTCCCAGATCACAAAGCAAAGTTCAGATAGGCATGATTTCTTTAAGATAAAGTTGGACATGTGTCTCTACTGGTACGCACGTGGGAAACGCGGCTTTGCTGCTATCCTATATCCAGACACTAGCCTATGCTACACACCTGTTGGTGGAGGGGGAGAAGAGAAGGGAGCTTTGGTTTGTTTGGTTGGTTTGGTTTTTTGTTTGGGGTTTTTTTTTTGTTTGTTTGTTTGGGTTTTTTTTCAAATCACTGTGCTTCATCCTTACCTTTTGAAGGGGTCTTGCTTTGCAAGGTAGCACTGAGGAAGCCACGTGCTGGGGAGTGCCTAGGGTGGACGCTGACTTACAGTTGCTGAAGCCCTCTTCCTCCACCTTCTCGATGAATTGTGCATTTTCGTATAGGGAAACAGACGTTGGTGATTGAGAATGGATCATCCCTGTTTCAGCAGATGACATCTGGACCTGACCACTGTCCTCCTCCCTGCACTGAAGACAGGAATTGTACGGATCTGTTTTGCAACACTCCCAATGATCAGCTTTGCTTTCTTTGCTCTCCAGATTCCTCCGGCAATCTGCTTCCATGGCAGCAGAGATGAGGTCGGGGCTGGAACCAGACATCCGCCTCTGCGCGTGGTTACTGAGCGGGCTCCGCAGCGCTGCTGCAGGGCCAAAGTACCTCAAGTTGTTTGCGCAGTTGGCAATATCTTGTCCGTGGGCGTGAAGCCGTGAGTGATGGCCATGGGGATGGCTGTGGCCAGGTTGGTGCGGTAGGCCGGGGTGATGAGGATTATTAGGAGGTGGAGGTGGGGGTGCATCATCTTGCACTGGCTGGTTTTTCAAGATCCCTGCAAAATCATTGTAGCTGCCTTTGCTGTTCCCTCGGCGGTGACGTGGCTTACTGCGGTAGCGGCTTTTGCCGCTCAGGGTCGACATTTTGGGACTTCCTGAGACTGGTGAGCCATTGGATGCTGCTTCTGCGCTGGGTATGCCCTCTGACTTCAGTAGATCTGGCCTGAGAGACAGTCAGCAGAAGTCACACATTAAACCACAAACTAAGAAATTACACTGGCTCGGAACCAGGATGAAGAGGCAGCTGTAGCCATGAGTACACTCTACTTTCTAAAATCTACAGGCGTCCCTCCCCCCTTCAGCTGTTTGACTTCTGCATTTAGTTTCCTTTGATCTTCTCCACTCAGCGTCCTTTCTGTTTAGCCCATCATGCTCTACACTCCTTTCTTGCTGCTTTTTCCAGTATCTGCCACATACTCTCCTTTTTCCGCTCTTATTTTGATGTTCTGCTCCTAAAATAGCTCCCTCCTAAGACCTTGGTGTAGGGCACGTCTCTTACTATGTGCATATACAACACTCAGCACAATAGGGTCCCAATCTGCTGATGGTTATCAGCCTGCTTATTCCAGAAGCACATGTGGATCTTAATTCAGAAGTGATTATTCACTGTTAATCAGGACTCTAACTTCTAGAAATCCCAGTAAATAGAAGAATAAAATAAACAGCTCCTTTGGAAAAAAAACAAAAACAAAAAACAAAACAAAACCAAAACCAAACAACCTCCCACTTTCTGAAAGTCACGCAGAACAGAAATAGCTGCAAGGACAACACGATTTCCCAAATCTCAAATCCCAATTTATTTCCTCAACAATTAATCCATCCTCCCCAAGGACTGGCTGATTTCCACAATCCCTCACCCTGCTTATTACCATTCAAACCAAGGATGATCTAACTGCTCTCTTCTTGGACAGTTAGGAATTTGCGACACACATTGCATACCTCCTGTCAAAGTACCATCACCTGTGAAAAAAATTATATGGACCGAAGTTCCAAAGAGCTGCCCATGTAGAAGGGATGGCAGAATTCATCCCTTTTAACCTTAAGGTACTTAATCAATTGTGGTTCTGAGGTTCAGACCAGGCCCAAGAGTGAACACCCCTTTGGCTTGTCCTGTGTTGTCATCAGACTCAAAGGGGAGGTAAGCTGTCTGCTCAGCTCAGCGGGAATTTACTGCTGGCTCCTGGCACAGAACTAGGTTGTCACTTCTTACCGTTTAGTCTGGCTGCCTGGTTTATGGGAGACCCCTTTCCTCTTCATCAGCTTCTCCACTGTATTGGGGTGGATTATTGGTCTGACTGGGTGGCGTTTGTAAGTCCCAGGGTATTTCTTTTCCACTGCTTGTTCCCTCCTGAAACATTGGGGAAGAAAAAAAAAAAAACCAAACAGATCAGTTCTCTCTTTATCCAAGTGCAGCTCCTGTTGGACAGAAACACAGCTCCGCTGTGAGCACGCTGTGTGCCTGTTTCTCAGCTATGGCTGGGCGCAACACAACATGCTGTTCTGGGAAAGGACATAGTCATTTTCTAAATTCTCTCTGCAGAGATCAGGCAGTTGGAACAGGGCCCTGGTACACAGTCCAGAAACAGCATTGCTTTTCTCTTTACAAAGGGGCCAAAGGATGCCAACACCAAATGGGAAAGGTGCCTTTCTCCCAGCAAGTAAACACTAGGTAAAAATATATGCACTAAGTGGTCTGCAGTAATCTATGCTTCACAGGCCTCTCTCTGCTTTCCAACTCTTCCTTTATCCTGGAAGTTTGTCAGGGGACACTAAATCTACAAGTACCACTATGCAGTTTAGAAATGAAGCACTGGGGTTTTTCCTCCTCTATGCATATTGCCACATGTGTGGCATGCCATCGTGCCCGGAGATACATACTTTATGAGCTCCTTCTCACGGACCTCCAGCTGCAGCATAATAGCACTGAGCTCCATGTATAAGTTATTGGCTCGCTCCAGCTTCCTCTCATAGTGTTCACGGATATCCAATGCATGTCTGAAAAACAGAAAAGTCGTTATTCCACAGCCTGATATCCATGGACCAAGTGAGGAAAATAAGGATAAGTACAGGTGCTTTGGGAAAAGGCCTTCTAAAAGTAAAATTTGCCAGCTGTATTGCACTGAACCCCAGATAGAAGTAACAGTGAAGGATGATTAAGAGCTTGATACAGCAATGAATCATGATATGATTTAGAAAGCATTTAACAATCTTTCAAGAGTGTCAACACTTCTCACTAGAGAAGCTGCAAATGCCTCACATGCATACACAAGCCCTTTGGCCAAGCCCTGATCATCCTGTTTGCACAGAGAAGGGGCTAAGTCAGCTTCTAAAGAAACAGAGAAAGAAGTCATCTGCTTGTATTTCATAAAAAGCAATATGCCCCCACAGATACAGTAGAGTTGCAGAAGATATTTTGAACCACAGGTGACAGACGTGACCATCAAAAGCTCCCTAGAGCTAGGGAACACTGATCAGCAGTTATATCAAACAGCCTGAACAAGTTTCTCGGGTTTGACATAGAACTGCTACTTGCTGGTTTATGTTTCTCTATCATAACTGTATTTGCAAATTTGTATCGAAGAAGATACACTTTCTTAAATAAACATTCTGCTCTCATTTTTAAGTTGGTCTTATGTTCAAAATTAATTTCAGTGGGTTGATAGTGTATTCACTTCTCTGGAAAAAACTAATCCAAAGAAAGTATCAGGGCAGAGAAAGCTCACAGCAAACTGCAAGATGCATTCTGCCACTGAGAGGGAAGTACCTGCTTCAGTGCCATTATCACAAACATCAAAACTCAAGCAGAAATATTCCCCGGTAAACACACAAGCCTTTGCCCCTCTTGCCTGGAACAAACTGTTCAGATTGCCCAAGAGCAGGGACAGCTTCCACTGTTTCTCTCTCTATAGTTTTCTCTCAGCCAAGCAGTGCTCAAGGCCTAGGGCATGCCTGTGGGAACTTCAGTTTCTGGACTCACAAGGAATTTAGGCTGCCCAAATTTATGCCAACAAGAATCGTCAATACAAGAGGAGCATGAAAACAGTCACAGGCTGGAGCACAGGCCCTGTGAAGAGAAGCTGAGGGAGCTGGGCTCAGGTAGCTGGAAAAGGGAAGGCTGGATGGGAAAAGTGAGCAGTAAACATAAAAGACTGTTAACAGACCTCAACTCTTCTCTTCGACGACGAATCAATTCTTCATCTAGCCGGTGGATACAAGTTCCTTCACTTTTAATTTTCTCAAAATGTTTCTTCACTTCTTCTCTCCATTCAGCCTAGGGAAGCAATTCACTTTCAGGTATTTACAAAGGATTGGGATCCCTGGTTGTACCAAAGAAAAACATTCTTGGCAACATTCTTTGTGTCTACAGAAATTTACAGGTTTGGGTTGAAAACATGTTTCTGTTAGCTGAATTATTTTGGGTAACAACATCACAGCATGTTTAGTTTCAGCATTTCCAAATGGTATTTCTAATTTTGTGCTCCAATTACATAATTTAAAACGTATCTTTATTTTCTAAAAAATATTTTTAAAAATTCCTAGAGTTCTTTTAATCCTAAAACAACATCTTCTTCCCTTTTGGCATTTAAAGTAAACAAAAATGCCTATGATTTGGAAGCCTGTATTCGTGACAACAATGACTGTCACTAGAGTGATACCAACTGTGTTTGTCCCTGGAAGCCCCGGTTCTTGCAGCTTTAATAAATGCACCCATTCCTCACATACACCCCACCACTGTATAGATCCTCTATACTGGGACAAGGTTTCATTCTCATTCCCTCATTGGGAGCAGACAATAGCTCGCTGGGTAGGACTCAGAGAAACCTCTAAGAACATACTTTTAGGTCTTCCCTGAAAGTCCCAGTCCCTTCACTGCCCTATAGCAGCTCTTTGTCCCACTGGCTGCCCTGCTCACCTTCACTGTAAATGAATGGTCCTGCTCCCAGCAGTCTCATGGTCTCCAGTACAACAGCACTGGGAGAAGAGCTGGGAGCAGAACAGCTGAAGTCAGCAGTCTCAGGGAGAAGTGAATGAGACAACGTTGAGTTTCTGACTGAAGTCAGCAGATGTCTCAGTCTGTGAAAGCTTGGGTAAAAGACTTTTAAATATCCATCAGTTTGCTTCTCCCCAGGAATAAAACTTAAATCATGGATCCAGACTTCTGCTGTACTTGATGCAGTCTCCAAAATCAGATCCTTGGAGCTAAACTCTAGTACTCATGGGCTACAGCCTTTCTCCAGTTACCTGGGATTTGAAATAGGTTTCCTGAGGAGTAGCCAGCACGTCAGCAGATGCGATATCCAGGTGCATCAGTGTCTGCCGGAAGGAGGGACGATTCCGGGGCTTGCTCTGCCTGGAGCAAAACAGACAAACACCCAAGCATGAGATGAGGTTAACATTGCTAGCTTCTCCTACCCTTCTGAAAAGGTTTCTCATGAGAATGTATTCTTTGAATCATGTAGCTGACAGATTAGAGCAAAGGAGCTTTTCTGGTTTTCTCTTTTGCTGAATATGCATTTATTGTGCTAGAGTTGTTTTGTATTCAGTTTTTGGTTTGTGATGATCCATTCTCAAGAAACAAAAAGAAGAAAACCATTTAAAATAGGAAAATGTGATTAAAAAGTATAAGATGGGATACAAACTGAAACTGTTCCCAACTTGTTTGTCAAGAAGAAAGATATCTCAGTTGATTATCCCATTAATTTCCAAATTTTATAATGGGAATACTCAATCTAGTAGAAATTATAATTTACAGTCAATAAAACAGGGTGTCTATAAACACCAAACATCTAAGTTGCCACATAGCACACGCCCAAGCCTACACAGTATGGTAATGCACTGAACGTCTCTAAGATCACATTCAAGTACATGAATTTGTACCACTGAGAAAAGAGACCAGTACTCAAGCTTCAGGAGTGAACCCACCAGAGTTGCTGCTCAGGACAAAAAACAGCTTCTTCAGCCACCTCTTCCCCTACAAACCACCTACTCCCACTAGGTGGGGATACAAGTGTGTGTACTGGCTGTGCAGAGCTGCACAAACTTCTCCCTGCCTCCTGCAGCCGTGCGGAGCCGCATGGCCAGGCAGAGCACGTCTCAGCACAGATACAGCAATGGCATGATCTGCTGCAGAGCTCAGGGACAGCAGGGTCAACAGCCACTTGAAAAGATCCAGAGATTCTCTGGGCCTGGTTTTCCCTTTGTGCTGTTGAGAGGATGGCTGGGAAAACTCCTCGAGTGGGAAAATGTTGGAAGACCACTTATACTCTGTGTCAGGATGCAACTACAAAGACAAAGCATTAATGCATAACCCAGGACAAAGAATTTCAACTCTAATCTGTCATGTGGAGGAAACTGGAAACGTTTTCTGTACCTATACCTATAAATTCCTGGTTTCACACAGAAAGCTCAAGTTTCTCTTTGTCCAGCTCAGAAGCCAGTCACATGCAAGGGATTTCAGAGTGAAGAACCACCTCCCTTCACTCTGGAGGCAGCCTCAAGAAATTTTACACCTACTTTCCTTCCAGCTCCTATTCTCTTCCCACAGAGCTACCTTCTATCATCTACTTTGCTACAACAAAGCAACCACCTCTGTGAAAGCTGCTGAAGATGGTCTTCATGCTGCCTGCTCCTGATTCACACTGGATAGGCAACTCATGGGTAACTGCCACCCTTCTGGGGCTCCCATCAAGCTCTACTCCCCCACTTCTCTCCTGCTTAACTCCTTCCCCCTCACTAGTCCATCTCACAGTGTCTGCCCACTCCCTTCCCTGCCCCATCCACCCAGCAAACCAGACAGGTTGTCTCCTACTTCCTCTAAGTTCCAAATGTTCCTATGGGGCCCAGGCCTGCTGCCACAAGGAAGCACAATCTAAAATGTAAAAACTTATTGTTCTTGTGACAAGTACGAGAGTGTTTAAGAGCCCTCTGCTCCGGGCTCAACACTCCCACCCTGACTCTAGTTTCATTGGTTTTACTGGGAGTCTGGCAAGAGCTGGGAGCCAGCCCTAGGTCTGTGCAGTGTGAGGTTCAGGCTCTTACCAGGTCTGCTTCATGAGAATTTTGAAGCCATCTGGGCAGGTGGAAGGGACAGGAAGGTGCAGGCTGTTACTGCCCACTCCCCAAATGATGGCTGAAGAGTCCACGTCCTTGTAGGGAATCTCTCCAGTAAGCAGTTCCCACAAAACTACCCCAAACGACCTGATGAAGAAATAAACCAGGATAAAAGCTTCTGTGTTAATTCAATTTAACAGACACATCTGGAGCTTGTAAAAAACAGTTTGGCAAAACAGGAGAATAGGTATGTCCAATCTGAAATTTCAAGTAGGTGCAATAGTGTTTGCATACTAGTTTTAAACCAAGAATAGCTATTTCATCCACCAGGTAACTCTTCCTCTTCTAGCCCAGTACTGGGCTGAACACCAAACCACACTAGTTTTCACTCACCCTTTCCTATTTCTTCGTGAGATTTTAAAAATCCTGAAATCACATTTTCTGTATAGATTAAAGCTTACTCTTGTTAAATGTAAAGGAACATTGCCTTTTCCAAGACAAACTTTTGACTGTTCTTATCAGTAAGAATAGATCATGTACTACTAAACAGACAGAACTGCTAAGTGTCTTACAGAGACAACACAACAAAGATTTTGTGGTTTTTTTTACATTTCATTTAACTGTTTTTTTCCCCTAGCCAGAAGCTCCCTCTACTGTTATGTGTACTCCCAGGTAAGAGTTTCATAGCTTTGAGACCCAGAGCTACAACTACTGCAACATAGAAATTAAGAAGCAGATACAATATCTAGTATCAAAAGCACATGCAGTCTCATCTGATACTTCTTTTGTGATGAAGAAAGGAAGGCTAAAGAAAAAATTATTTAAGAGAACTCTGCCTGGAGAAGAACCTCCTATTACAAGAACTGAAAGATATAGGTAAGAAAACTCACTTTGCTTCTCTTCCTTAGTGAAATGATCAGTAAGGGCCAAAATCTTAATTTATAACAGCAAACATTTATTTACAATCTTCATCCAATAAAACACCAAAGAAATAACAAACCAGTCAATACAGAGGTAAACAAAATGCTGCCGAGAACCAACACTAGTCTTACTACACACTAACAACCAGGCTGCAATATGACGTAAGGTACAACCATCTCAATTCCAACCCCAGACATGGCATGCCTTATCTGCATGCCCCATCCACCTGTGGAACACTGACCCTGCCAAGCTTGCTGGCAAGTCAAACTAAGTGAAAAGTAAAAAACGTGTTTCTGGCTTGTACAAATATCAAGTTGTTTTTATTAAGTACAGAAGAACATCTAAGGGACAAACTGCCTGGGTCTGAACAACCATCAGTCAGAAAACAGAACTTCATGTGGAAAATGCTGCGCTTTCAAAGCCCATTGGCTTCAAACCAAAAGAAGCAGAATTTGAATATTTTTTCCCTCAAAACTTTTTTTCCGTGGGCTGCAGGAAAGCAGGGATCCAGGTGGTTGGACAAACTACCAGGAAACCCCATCTGGTTTCAGCTTTGTTATGATTAAGAACTGACAAAGGATTTTCAAGACTCCTGATAAGATTATAGATTTTTTTTTTTTTTTTAGCATGCTGATAAAGATGAGAGAGAGCAGACCTATAAGCAGCTTAGGAACTGTTCTCATTTATTGTCCGCATTCACAAACAAGACTTTTACTCAACTTGGGAGAGGAATGGATGTCAACGAGGAGTTCGAGTAATCATCACTGCAGCAGACTCAAGAGGAACTTGCACCAAAAGAGCAACATTTCTAAGTCACTGAGGAAAGAAGTAAAGGAGTGCCCACAGTCCCCAGCAGAGCTAGAAGCTGCTTTATATTGGATGTGATGCTCCAACACAATATTCCTGAACCTAAGCCACTCTGAAGGACAGAAAGCTGAGGGTGGAAATCCAGTACCATGCCTCCCCATGAACCTGTGATTCAAAGGGAGAAGATCAGAAGACAAATGGCGAGTGTATTTTCTTTCCAAAACAACCCAAAAGTTTCTCCTAGAAGAGCTGGCTATGCTATGGCCTGCTATATCCACACAAAATGACCATACAAAACACTGTGGGCACAAGAAGAGCTGTACACTGCAGATTACAAGACCTTTCCTTTTCCTACAGGAAATCTTGACTTCAAGTCATGACCCAGCTCCGAGCTAAAACACCACGAGCAGCAGGCTGCTGTCTTGACTCCACTCGTACTCTGAACCACCCGTGGCTTCGACCCCCAGCTTCATGCTGCCTAAAGGAGGCGACAGCATTTGAAGCTGAAAAGACCACATGAAGGAAAATTCATCCTGGCTGTAAAGCAGGGAGAAGGGCATTTGTCCTAGCTACTGACATTTCATATGCAGAAATAACAAGGCAGAAACAGAGATGCAGCTCCCTTCAGGGTCCTGAAATCTGTGGAGAGGCATCTTAAAGGAGCTTCAAGGCTGAGTTCTCTCTCAAGCATTTTTAATAGCACAGAGATCTGAACTTCTCCTTGTGCTCCTTTGGACACAGAGTACATTTCACATGGGGTGAAAACAGGTGCTCAAAACTCTTACGGTATATCCTGATTTCCTTCCTCTTGGATCCAGGGTTAGATTCTCTGGACTATAATCCTGTGGCTGTCCATGTAACAGCCAAGACCAGTATGCAGAAAGCAAAAGGTGGTCAGACCCTTCAAGCTAGCTGCGGCCTCCTTCCAGCTCAGGCATGGCCCTGAGGAGGGTAGAAAGCGAGAAAAAATACCCTGGCTGCAGAAGTTGCTGAGGGAGCCCTGAACACCAGGAGTGGAAGAAAACTCTGGCCTGAATAATGACCCAGGGAAGAACTGTTGCATTTAATTACTGCAAGACATAAATAGTCTGTACTAAGTCTCATTAGGTATCTTCATATCTCAGCACACAGCTTTTACACATGTATGTCATTTCTCTTTCCATTATAGCCCATGGTTCAGTACCAAAGTTCAGGGGACTGGCAGATGGAGAAAGGAATAGTCCACCACAGAGCAAACTATCCCCATGCCTAGAATGGGACAAAAGTGCTGAATATGCAAAGTGCTGGGAAACCAAGTGGGCAAACAGAAGGTGAAGATACTTAAACATTAAAACTACTCACCAGATATCCACCTTTTCAGAGACAGGCTCATTGCGTATCACCTCTGGGGCCATCCAAGCCACAGTTCCCGCAAAAGACATTTTGGTACTTTTATCACTGAGTTCTTTAGATGTACCAAAATCTGAAATTTTTACTGCATCTGTGTGTGTAACTAAAACGCTGGAAAGAGAAAAAGAGGGGGAAAAAAAAATTTTAAAAAATCAGTATTCTTCAATTTTTCTTGTACCACAACAGCCACTGGGAATAAACCCCTTCTTAATCAACACAAACAGTTGTTGAGGCCACGCTGTTCACAACTTGTAGCACAAGTGAAAATGATTATGTATATTCACCAATGAAAGCACTCGCTTTCTTTGGGGCGGTTGCGTTTTGTGTCTCCAATGCATTTCTAAATGCTACAAGTCAAAAAATCAATCCTGATAAAATTGCAAACTAACAAGTCACTGAAGATTCATTGTATCTGGGAATGTTTCAAAATTTTAGTAAAGCTGTACTTTAAACTGTGCTGTAAATCGCCTAAAAGTATTATCTTAACTCACTGTCACGGTCATGTCACAGGCTAAAGAAGTGATAAACACCTAGACAATAAGAATATAAGCAGCCAGACAGTTTTAATCAGAAAGCAACAGAGAAATGAGAAAGATGCATTCCAGAAAATCAGGGAAATAATGAAAGAACAAATAAGAAGGAAAAAAGCAGAAAGCAACAAAATATCCCACTTTCAAAAAGGACCAGACACCATCAAATATTTCCTGACCGCTATTTATCCAGTAAAATACTGGTACAATTTGCAGTCTTGTTAAACTGCAGCACAGGAGGGGAGCACCAACAAGTTTCATTAGTTTAACTCTCATTAGTTTTGAGTCAGCGTGGAAAAAAAAATAATGGGACTTTTGACCTAACTTTAAACTATTCCTCAAGAGGAAAAAAAGACAACCACGACTGGGAGATGTTTAAGTAGCTAGAGACTCACTTTGGTGACTTGAGGTCTCGATGGATGATTTTGTGAAGGTGCAGATAATTCATCCCACTTGCAATCCCCGTGGACCAATCCACAAGCAGCCGAGGGGTGACTTTCCGTCCTGCTCGCAGGACTTCGTAGAGCTGTCCATGTGCACAGTACTCCATGATAATACAGTAGCACGGGGCTTGAGTGCAAACTCCCCTGTCAAAGAAAACACAGCTAGGATCAGTAGAGGAAGAGTGCCAGACCAACTCTCAAAGGTGGCAGTCAAGGGGCAGGAGTGTAACCTATTTTCTCTGGCTGGGCAAGGCTCTGCTAACAGCTCTCCTTCCTGAACGGGAAAGGGAATGTTTCCTGCATGCTCTGGGCAGGAGGAACTTCATTTGTGACACGGGTGGATTTCCTTCAACTGCCACACCTGCAGATCTGTAGGTGTTCTATGAGCCCACATGCAAAGTGCAGCAGTGGGTGAGAATGGTGTCCACAGCTTTGTTTTCACAAGGGTGTATGGCAATTTGAGAGGAAGGATGACCGCCCATTTTGTCCTACAAGCAGCTCAGTTCCTGGATTTTAAAAACTTGGTCAGGGTACATAAGCAAATGGCTCTTCCCTGGATAAAGGTACGTTTCTAACAAGTTTCACAACCTACTTGAACGCAATGATGTTAGGATGCTTGAGTTTCCTCAAGTGCTTGATATCCGTTTCATTCTGATCTCTCACTTTCTTGATGGCCACCTCCTCTGCCCGGAATTTGCCCAGGAAGACAGCTCCCTGCGCACCGCTGCCCAGCCACTGCAGCTCCGAGATCTCCTCAAACGGGACCTCCCAGGTATCTAGGCACAGGCAAGCAAAGGGGATAACGTAAAAGATCAAGACCACAAAAATGTTACCCTGTAAGATCACAACAGGACAGCACCTCCCACCTGCCTTGCTAAAAATCTCCAGGTGGACTTTTCTGGAGGTAGGAGATGGCATCTTCTCCCGGTACCGGCACAGCTGAGGGCACACACCGCACATGCTCAGCCCCAGCATCCCCCACACCCAGCCCCGCTCCCCCATCAGCCACCTCCAGCCTGTTCCTTCCTATCCTCCCAGATGTTTTTTCAGCAGAGCTCACCACCGCAGCTAACCACTCGGGCAAGCCGCTTCCACTTCACAGCTGCTTTGCAGGCAGCAGTTTAACACACCAGGGACACTGGACTGGCAGTTTAGGGAGGAGGTCCTCTACTCTAAAATTGACTGGTGATGGTATCTCTCATAAACTACATGATTGCATTGAAAAGCATAGAGGAGAAGAAACATTCAACATTGATAACTGCCAAAAAAAAGAAAAAAAAAGGTTCCCCCCCCACCGAAACAGGATAAAAATAAGAAATAAAAGGGGAAGTCAGAGGTGGCAGGTTGTAAAATGCAAACCAGTAACCTCCCAATACAAAGCGCTTCACCACCACCATTAGGCACAGAAGCAGGTCTTTCCCACACCAACATTGTGTATATCAGTGTCAAACAGGCAAAAAACTCTTAAGGGATTCCTCCTCATCCGCGTGCATCTTGTAGGGATACTGCCGGAGCAGTCCAGTAGCACTATATAAACTGTTTCAAGACAGTGGTACCCATCAGAACAGAAAGCTTTGTTGTCTGTGAGTCACCTTGAAATTACCTTAACATTCTACAAACGGCAAGATAAAAGGCAGGCAATAATTTATTTACTGTAACTCAATAAAAATCTAAGTTTAGAGAGCAAATTATTTAGCAGCAAAACCAACAAGTAACCCACTGATTTCTGAAGTAAAAGAAAGCCACATCTGTACAGATCCCTATTTTGGATTACTACAAAGACATGGTTTCTTTCATCCAGCCTCCAAACCACAGGGGTGTTCCCAGGGCAGCAACTGGGATTATGCAAAAGAGTTCATTTTAGATATTGTCACCACTGATGGGAAAGTTAAATACCCAAACTGTCTCTGGACTGATCCTGATTCAAATCTTTCCCTCAAATCACCGCCGCAGCAGTCAGACACTAGCTGGATGTCTCCTGCCGAATGGCTGCTCTCCAGGCACGGCCACGGAAAACCAGCTCCCACCCGGAACCAGACCCCAGCGCTCGTTCTGCTCACTGAACTAGAAAAAAAAGCACTGTTAATCTACAGCAAAAATGTCCTTCGACTCGGCAGGGCAAAGTTCAGTCCTCAGCACATGTTTCTTCACAGACACAAGTCTGTTTTTCATACTGATATATCCTCTTGCAACTTTATGTTGTACAAAAATATTAAGGCAGCACATGCAGCTCTCAACTGAAATAAATGCACTATAACTGAGCAACCCCACTAACCTTGGATTTGCTGCAGATGATCCCTATCCTCAATTTTCACGAATGCAATGATGCTGTGAAGGTGATACTGCCTGCCAGCAAATGTGTCCTTTGGTACTGAATGCCCGTCCATGTAAGAACCTAACAGTCACTGATGCATGAAATGTGCTGTGACCACTATCTTGACCACAGGACATTCAAGTATTTTAAAATAATAAGCATTCTTCTTCACCAAACTACTTGAGCAATTTCTTGTCAAAATATTTATAACCGGTATTTAATTCGTCAGATATTTAGATGTTAAAAGACAGTTTTTAAATAAGGAAAATAAGGAAATTTATAAATAAATTGAGAAGATCTGTGTTTCTATTTATTTCACAAAAGCACTGCTTCTGAAATGAATTGGCAATTACAATTGATTATTGTGTTTGTCGATGAACAGTATTTTTACGTAGGCAATGCTGAAACTGTTCTGTTGTACTGAAGTAGCTGTTTCTTGACATGTGAGAAGACTGCCTTTCCTGTACAAGGCATGCAACATTGTCATTTGTTTCCCTGAAGCACCCAAAGTTTGTGAGCAGTCATGGGTATCTATATTGCTATCACTGCTATCACCTAGGAGCCCGAATTTTCTCTTAATATTATCTATTAACTTCCGCAATGGCAAAGGCAGAGAGAGATTGTAAACAAAGTACGGAAAAGTTGATGCGCTTCCTCCTGCAAAGTCATCTCATGTTTAATTGGTCAGACAACATATCCTTTCCCATATCCCGCTTGCACCCTGACCATCAAGGGCATGAGCCAGGGAAGAGGTTTCAGTGTAGCAACAATCAGTCAAATATCCTACATCTTTGGGAATTTCAAGAAGAAATTGAAAAAGAGACAAACTGTATGTAACATATACTGCAACAATAAGACAATAATAATAATAACAATAACAACAACAACTTTCACTGTACAGGAGCATGGTACTACGTTTCAAGACAGCCAGAATCAGCAATTAATTTGGCTCCTATAACGTATGAAGCGCTGAAAATCTTCCCAAAGAAAATGATGCTGGTGGAGAAGAGCACCGGGCTACGTTCAATTGAAAACAAGGATTTGTTAGCATTAGTGGTGCAAGCCTGTACTTTCTACTACAATCCAAACCCACCAATTAAAAAATACACCTAAATTACGCTGTGCATGTGCTCCCTACAGCTCCCTGGGCCCACCCTTGAGGACAACAGGCTGACAAGGGTCAGTATTACAAAGTTAGTCGTCTCAGTTCTGCAGAGAGGTGACAGGCAAAGCTGCAAAGGAGAGGACCAAACACCCTGCCAGCTGAATCAGCTGGAAGTTGAGGCTACACAGATCCCCCGGACAGCAGGTTATAAAGCTCTCCCCACTGCCTGTACAGCCCCCCCCCCCCGAACAGCCCACAAAACCCTGGCGCAAAGAACGGTGAATTACGGCTGTCCCAGCTACAGCACATCTACACAGCAGGTACAATGAGAAACACGGCATGCAAACGGTGATGACAAGATCTCTGTCATCTCAACCAACCGCCTGAAACAGAAGACGACTTGTATAAACCAGCTGCAAGAACTTGGGTGCGTGGCTATGATGACTAGCCATAGTTAAGTCAAAGTGCCTGTCCAGAAGAAAAACACCTCAGGCGATCAACAGGGTGGCTAGGAAACACATCTGGACATACTAAGCAAGACTCGACTGGACTGCCAGCCTTGTTCAAAAAGTCCATTAACATTGCTTGGCTAAACATCCTTTGAGATTGCCCAGGCTTCAGGGCTTGCTACAGCTCTCCTAGCGCTCCCCCTCCTCCTCCAGCAGAAGAGAGACAAAGATATCTCCTACCAGGATGGAGCAGTTTTTATTCCAGACTCTTCTGGGCCTAAAGAAGCCTGTAGGATGCTTCCCCTAAATAAATTAAAGTGTAATAGCAGCAGGAATTACGCAAGAGCTTGCGTTTCTAAGGTGATTAAGAACCATTTGAGTAGAATGATGGGAATCTGTTTCCCATGGGGAAGAAATGCAGGAGCAGCCTGAGCCATTGAGTCAATGTATTTGAAGCAAATTTTTGCCATTTGCCAGCACTGGCTGCTCGCCAGCACTGGCATTATGACAAGAAGCATCTCTGGTTTACAAAAAAATACCCACAAACACAAGCACACTTCGTAAAGCACCTTGCTCTCCAGGTTTACACAAAAATGCACACAATGACAGTAAACACGTAACTTGTGAAAGGGAAGGTGAAAGCACCTCCTGAAAACAGATTCTTAATCCAAAGGAAATGGCTCAGAAGTCTAATGAGTCTGTAGAAAACACAAATGAGTCTTAATATGAAGTGTTAGATTCCCAATAATCCAAATTAAACAACTGGTAAACACAAATTAAAGAACTAAGTATATCTCCCTGAAAGCATTCACCAACAGCCTTTAGAAATCAGGGTAAACGACTAGAAAAACAGAGTCAGGAGTGATTTTATGGGTCAAAAATACTTAAGCCTCAAATAATCAACTGGCAGCCACTGAGCAACACGACAGCAAACGGTCCCTGCAGGAGTGACAATCAGCAGACCACCCTGCAGCAACTCCCAGCTGATCAAAGCTCTGCCCAGCACGGGGTCCTCAAGGGAAGCACAGAAACACACTCCTCTTGATGACCATCTCAGATGTTGGGAAGGAAACTCAAGGAGTAATTTCAATGAGAAGATAATGTGGAATCATGTAAAAGTTGTTCTTACCTTTTCCCCCACTCACCATGTCATGAGCCAAGGCTTCGCAAGCAATATGGACTCAAGTATCAGACATTTGCAAAGGGCATGAAATCTGTTTATATTTCACTACTTGCAACTACACCACAACACCACCACATCCTAGAGTTTGGGCCTGCAGGAGATCCAAAGCAGGCGAGCAGGGGTGCTGGTGAGCAGCAAAAAGTACTAGGAAGCATCTGCAGGTAATGAAGTCCCCCATGGCTGCAGGACCAAACTGGACTCCTACTCCAGTTGTTGATGCAGCCCAACACAAAGGATTGCTCCCGGATAAGGCTTAAAGTAGTTGTTTCACGAAGAGGGGAAAAAATCATCTGCATGGATCTGTGGCACCAGCCCAAAGCTGTAAATAAGTGCCCAGGGGAATGAAAGGCCACTACAAGCCTCTCTCTACTGCTGAAAGAGCCAGAGACATTGCTAAAACAGCCAGAGACATTTCCTCAGCCTGTCTTTGCCAAGCACACAGCACTTGCACAAGCACAAACCTTGCATCCTCTGTGTTCCTGCTAAAAGACAGCAAAAATAAAAGCAATCACATACATCAGTTATGAAACTGCTGGCTTATATGTAGCTGATGAAATGCACACAGAGAAGATTTCCTGGTAGCAAGAAGCAAGAATGAGATCATCTGGAAAACAGAACATGAATATTCTGACAAAATCCTCAAGTTTTAGCACAGAAACAGTTTAAAAAGGTTTACCCTTGGATAATAGAAGCGTACTATTGCCATCAGAGAACTGTCCAACGGATCAGCTCCAGAGAAAAAAAAAAAAAAAAAAAAAAACAAAAAAAAAAACCCACCAACACAAAAAACCCAAACAAACAAAAACCCCAAAAGTTTCTTTTCACTGTCGTTTATGATGGTGAAGACATTGAAGATGCAGCTAAGCCACACAGGCCACATATATCAGATAGCAATTAATCTTCAGCCCTACCACATCTGTAGCCATTACTAAACTGCCCTTTTAGGAAGGGCCAAATGCCAATGGCAAACTGCAAAGCACCCGTGAATCTATGGCTCTGAACATGCTCATGACACCGAGAACAGCAAGATACTTCTGTGCATACGAAGAAGAGCTCTATGTGCACCCCCCAAACACAACGCTCTCAGCTGCTCATTTTCATTAGTTAGCGCTTCAATCTTTTTTATTAGTGACTTTCACACAAAAGAAAATGTCCCCTGTGGGCCATGAAAGCACGTATTAAACTGTAGTCTCCAATGCATCTGCTGCCCCAATTATATGTGAAATACGATCTGCTTGCCGCACAGGTATCTTTCCTGAAGCGACCCATCTGAGCTTACAGGCACACGACAGCTCGGCAGCTCTCGGTGATGAGAAAAGTCTGACCTGGTGAGATAGCGCTCGTATGGGATAGTCACAGAATTGCTGGAAGCAGGCAATGTAACTCCCCATCTGTGTCCTTTCCTTGGAAAGTTTCAGCTTCGCTTAAAAACAGCGAGCATCCAAACCAAAGAAGCGTAACACGGACACACTGACACCATGCCTCCTTCGAATGTTATCCGACTGCTCGAAAGCCGCTTTTCCTTCACAAAGGAGGCTCCCCAGCCAGGCTCAGTCTCTTCCAAAACTTGCCGCGTCCATCTCCACATATTGTGCAATCACCCCTACAGAGTTAATTCCCCAAAGAACTTTCAGTCACCTCTTCTATTTATACTCAACCATGTGTGGCCTACTGAGTTTACAACATGCAGACAGAACCAAGTCTGCCAAAGGATTTCAAAGACAAGTAAATTCTTGCTGAGCACACAGGTCTGATAGACAAGAGGCTGCTGCTTAGGTGGCACCTGGCATTCTGCAGTGCAGTGGTGGATTTACCTGCCCGGAGTTATGAACTGGAAACAACTGCCTCTAGGCAGTCTAGGAAGAAGGAGTAAGCTTATTTCAAGGCAGACTGACCCAACGTGTTAACAGCTCTGTTCCCTCATATGAGGAACTGTTCCCCAACCCAACTCTGGGGCTTAGATACGAACCGCTCAGATGGGTTTTCTGACCACTTACATTTGTCTATGCCAGAAAACCGTTCGATTGCTACTGAGTCATGATCACAGCAATACAGGAGACTTCTACCCCATGGTACAGTACAGTGGCCAGGCTGTTCCCATTTTCGATAAGCCTCAACCATTTCAGCTCCTTAATTCTAATGACAGATTGTTCTTTTCCCATCTGCCACCTCCCTCCCCCTGTGCTAGGGGAGAAATTAGACACCAAAGGCAGAGCATACTCTGCTCTTCAGCTTTCTGTAACCTCTAAAGATAGATGTACACAACTGACTGAGACATTACTTATTCCCAAACTACATATTTTTTCATACATACATATCTCTGTATGTATATACACACTCTTATACATTTATACTTCTAAATGAAAGAGATATAAACATTAAAGGACGTATTTATAGAGAGATAAGTACTGAATGATATTGTAAAGAAAAAAATTATCACTGAACAAAAAGACGTAAAAGTTCATGTAATATGCCCACAGAGAAGCATTACTTCTGCTATTTGGTGGTCAACCGAAGACAGCCTTCACAAACACATACAGGAGTAGAAATGCCTCTGTCAATGTTTTTCACGTGGCATGATGAAAAAAATACCCATGCTTATGTTTTCTGCCATGAAAAAACTGCAGAAATTAACAGTTGGTACAATCTCTGTGCTCAACACAATTCTTTCCGATCCTCACTTACATATATACTTGGTTCAGATTCAGACCCTGTCGCAACAGTCCAAGGCATGGATCAGAACAGGCAATTGTTTGACTCCATCACGAGCTGCCTTTGCTACAAATGACAGCTGTTGGCTGTACAGTGCAGGATTTCTCTTTGCAAACCCACAATAGGGCTGCACGAGACAAAAATGGTCACATGGAAATCTTGGAAAAAGCCCTGGTCTGCTTTCCTCATCTTCACACATTCCCAATAAAGCAATAAAGGTTTGATTCCCTACTTACCTTGCTGTTGCAGTTTGTAGTCTGTGGAGTATGCCTTGCCTATGATGTTCCACACAGGCCTCAGACAACCGAAAAGTCCCTCAAGAAACCCACCGCTCCCACTGCCCGATCTGTTGAACTGGACTTTAACATCATCCGCCCCACTGTTGCTCTCTCCATCCATAGTGTTCCTGTTGCCCTGAGGAATGGCCGTTTCAGACTCATCCTGCTCTCGCAGCTGCAGCACGCTGTTCTCAAATTGGTCCCTAGAGTCCTCGCTGATGCTGGTCAGCACTGCTGCAGTGACCGGGCTGCTCATGTTTTCGACGAGGTCTGCCTGCAGCAAGCCCTTCTCACGCACATCCTCTATGAGCTCAGGGGACGGGTGGTTTCCAGTAGGTGCATGTTCATCATGTAACCTACTAAAGTCTTTATCTTCACAGAAAGCTTTGCCAATTGAGTTTGGAGAGGAAGACAAGCTCAGGCGCTCCTGAGTACTGGCCATGATGCCGTGAGTGTGCATCAAGGAGATGGTCTGAGTAGGTACTTAAAGAATTAGTACAACACAATTCAGATGTGACACATGGACCCAGTACCTGAAATGAGAAGAAAAGAACAACTTTCAAATTTTTATTTATGTATTTTCACTACATGCACTTTCAGAGAGGTGAGCTGATAATTAACTAGACATTCCAGACAACCGCTGATACTTAGTAAACAATTACTGCCCTAAAAGCAGCAAATAAATTATTCCAACAGAAACTCCACTCACGCAGTACTCTCAGTAACCTACTGCAGGAATTGCCCAGTAAACAAACACGACAAGTTTTAAACAAAAGCCTAAAGGTCAAAATCATGAAAGACTTTTTGCAGCAAAGAGCTGTTTCTTCATGGTTACTATAGCATTTATCAGATTGAAGCTGACCCCCAGGTGTTTCCCAGAACAGGTATGGTTTGAGCCCAGTCACTGTTTCTGGGTCTGGCACAGCCCACAAGCTCAGGATTTCTCTGCAAACCCTTGAAACAAGGCATTAGAGAGAGAAAGCACAGTGATACAGGTGGCCTGAATGCACACAGGGATGGTTTGTAGCTGCTCCCTCAGAGCCCCACCGAGTTATGACCATCCTGGTCCTTTAGTTGAATCCTTTCAAGTTCAATGTAGCAAGATACATTGCATTTTCTAACCACATACATGTCACCCTCATAAACAACTAATACTTGAAGAGCTTCACAGGAGCAGTATATCCTCCTCACTGATCTCCCTCCTTCCACAAGCCCGAAAAGCATCTCCCCCCACTGCTCTGCTTTCTCCCTGCTGAAGTTCCTGTAGGTTACATATAAATCCAGAGCCGGTGCCCCTTTTTAAAAGTCCCCCATCTCTTGCTACATGCTCCACTGAAAAACCCTTTTTTCCACAGTCCGGTGTAGCGCCACCCTTCTACAGAGCTGGGCCGACAGCCGGGGGTTGCTCTGTGAGAGCTGCCTGCTGCCAAAGCATTTTTCTGGGGCAGAGCCACTTCCAAAACATAAGTCTCTAACTTTCCACCAGAAGTAATTAAGGGCATTCAGCCTGTAACACAGAACAAAGTCCCATTTTAAATTCCACATAAAGTTGGCGGGGGTGGGGGGAATGGCATTAACAGAAACTGTTTTGTGAAAAAGTAAGATCAGTTACGCTGAGTGCAAAGTCCCGGCCTCTGCAAACAGCCACTGGAAGGAAGAAAGAGGTGGCCAGGTAGCACACAGCCAATCGAAAGGGAACAGCTCAGTCCCAGAACTTCTCAAGATGAGGTCATTACAGAAACGAGATAAGACCTTCAGCCTGGTGTATGAAAAGCTCATGCCACTCTCCAACAGCAGAGGCAGCAAATGGGAACAGCCAGAAGCCTGTTTTACATCCCTGTATTTCTACCTGATCACACGGGCTATGCATAAAAGGTTGATTAGAAGAACATTATTTAAGTTGTAAACTTCATTCTTTAAAAGAAAGCAAAATAGCAAGTGAGTCAAAACCTGCAGCACAGCCCATACTAGTAAAGGAGCTGAATTAGACAAGCTCAAGAGTTGGTTATTCCTGACCTACCTGTGACCACCTTTCCAATGACCGATTCCCCAGCACGAGAAGCTGTACGGTGACTGTGGCAGTACTACTAATACTAGCTGTTATATGATCACAGATTTTTGTTGTCGATATAGAGAAGAAAAGGGAATAGTATCAGACTTGAACAGAATTTCAGAAAAATACCAAAACAACTCCAATTTAGCATTCCTGGGCACTGCCTCTGCTCATTTCCAAAAGCCTGAGAGAGACAAGTGATTCTTTAAGCAAAAGCAAAGGGTGACCAGTGTTCCTACAGAGAAATCTGCTTTTCCTAACATAGCATAGTAAGCAATGTAAATAAAACATCAGTCAGTTTTACCTGCAAGAAACCCTAGAGTAAGAGCCAAAGCACAAATTTGAGGTAACAGTGTCCCAAAATATCTCAAATTTAAACAATGGGAAGTGCATTAAGGATTAAATCGGCCTTGGAGGATAAAATTGTGTTGCTATTATGTGACTCTCAGAGTACACTACTATAGTCTAGGATTTTGCTTTTACCTTCCTATGCAGTTTTCTGACTTTGAGATGCTTGATTGTACAGAAGTAACAGAGAAAGAACAGCTTTTCCTGTATATATTTCATATTTTTCTGGTTTCTAAATGGATTATCAGCATCATCCTTGACTCTTCCTCTCCCCGTGCATTTCTCAGTATTGCCTGGAAAGTTAAGACTCTCTCATCCTGCTGCTGAAGCATCACAACATGTATAGATTATGTTGCTAATAGCTACTAGACCACCCTGACTCTCAGTTCAATTCTACTCTGGTATTATTTGCGTTAGAGACACCTGCAGCCTCCCACCACTATCGAGGCTCAATACAGCAGACAGTGCAAGTGTACACAGAGAATCCCTTTTTTTGATCTCAATAAAAAGATGAAGTTCAGGCCTATTGGCTGCAAAGAACCTCTGGAAGTTATCAGGTCCAGCCTCCCTCCCACTTGCAGTAGGGCTATCACAACACAGCTCAGCTGTGACTACAGTAACCCAGCCAAAAACAACCCCCCAGATTCGAGGACATCAGGTCTGTCTTACCAGATCAAATTGCCTTCTCTGAGATTTAGAAGTTTCATATTCATCTTCAGTGCCCTGCCATCTTATATGCTTCACAGGGAGAGGAGGCATGCAAAAGTTACAAAATTATTTTCAAACTGGCATGATACAGCCTTATTTAGGTACTTACATAAGCAGCCTGATTTTTCAGAGGTGTAGTGAACTCATTGTTTTGAGAGCATGAGATGGCAGCATTTATTTTAAAACAACTTCTTACCAAGTCAGTTTGTAAAATGGTCCCGATACATTGGCAGGTGGTAGAAGGCATTTTCTGCCACCATGCATCAATCCTGACTTGTTGGGAAAATTAATTTTTTTAATTATCTTATATTGCAGTAAAATTTGTAATGTGAAGCCTCTTCCCTTGGCAAAATTTGATTTAACACAGACAAATTAGGTTTTCTTTGACCTTGCCATCTCTTCTAACAAGGGATTCAGAGCATTTTTCAAGCTTTATTGTCATGCCTCTCCTATTCTTTTGGTCAGAGTACCAAAGATATGGCTGAGATTATTCATGTTCAACTCTTCCCAATAAAAGAAAACTTAGTTTTATTCAATGCAGAGAAAAACATTTTCTTGAAAGTTTGAAGTTTCATTATATATAGACTGTTTGCCATTTGGGATGTTTATGATCTGCATGTGCCTCCTTAACTTTTACAGTGAAGAGCATAGCCAAGTAGCGTTCTGTTTCTATCTTAGTGATGCTCCTGCTGTAGCAGTCTTCAAGTCAAAAGCTGAAAGCTCTGTGTGTGTAGGAGGACTGTGTGCATATTTAAGATACCCATATTTCATGAAGTGCTGCTGCAAAAGCAGATTTCAAGGCAGACCCTCTGATTTGAACTATTTTGATGAGTTCACGCACTCTGCAGCTAACATTTATTTTACATCTTATAAGGAAATTTGAGGCTCAGTATAATTTTGCATGATCACTTCTTGCAAATGACTCCATTTCCAGGCAAAATCCCACCGTGCTCAGACAAAAGGAGCACAAAGTGCACCTCTTCTGGGAAGAGTGATACTGCACCTCAATACATCCGACAGCCCAAACTGCAGTTTAAAACTATCAGAAAACAGTTTACCTGAATCAGCACCAGCCAGAGTGAGTGAATCAGTTACCACAAGGCATGCTCTCACGTTGCCTGATACTGTGTCCACTCCTGGAAACATCCATCTAGTTAAGTGTCCTCACATACACAGAGCAACCAAATCACACCACTGCCTACACAAGCCCAGTATTTATGAGTGTGTCAAAGCAATGGTCAGGTTTGAAGACATGGTAGAGTTAAACAAATGCCTTGCATGGACCATAATGGAAGTTTCTCCTTTAAAGAGCTGTGCTAAAAATAGAGTAGCAAATCACAATTCCAGATACAGCACACAGACAAAATGTTAATATGCTGTAAAGGTTGTGTAAGTACAAAGCAGTAACTGCTCAGTTTCCTAACAGCACAAATGACTGGTAATATTAAGTTAGCTTCCTTGAAGCACTATTTCCTATATTACCCAGTCAAGCATATTCGACACTTGCACTTCCAATATACAAAGGAAATAAAAGCAACAGTCTGATCCGTGTTTAAGGGCTGAAAAAGAGCAGCTGGCAGAAACTGGCTGGCTGATACGTGGCAAGTATCAGGGACAGAAGAGATTCCTGTCCAGACCACTACTTGTATCCAAGCCCTGGAGTTCCCTTGCTTTTTCCCGGTACTCAGGGTGGTTTCTGCCTGGCTATGTTAGGTACAGCAAGGTAACTACACCTTTCTGCACTGGTAACACGACTGCAATTTACATGTGTATCATCTCAAAACTATTGCAACACTCCTGGCTTGGGACAGTATTTCAAAATGTTCTATAATCTAATAAAAATACAAAAAGCAGACTTATAAAGTATAATTATCTTGGTACACATATCTTGCATCTGAGTTGTCCTGCCCCTTGTGATTCTCTCTCAATCTCTACACAGAAATTTTATAACAGGTTGATACACAGTCCTCTCCCATCCCTTGACCTTCCACGCTGTACAACTTCAGCACAGGAAAGCTCTGTGAGTTGCTGAGTTGGCAAGTACCAGAGCTTTGACTGTCACTTCTGACCTTTGGGTTTTGAAAATCATGTGATTTTATTACACAGAATTCCAATAAACTTTTCACCTTCCTGGTCTCCTGGTGAGGAAAATGCTGTATGAGTGGATGAAATACTCCTCTTATGATATTCTTTTATGGTTTTACATTACTTGGAGTATATGCTTGTGTTTTGCATGGTTGTTTTTAATAGAAACTGCAATAGCAGATTTATTAATAGAGAACGAGTTACATATCAACAAAATGCAACTTCTTTGTTTTCAAGGCTTTTGTTTTGGGCTGTTTTTTTTTTTTTTCAGTGTCATTATTCAGAGGGAGGAACTGCAAATAAACATATCCTGAAGCTTCACTCAGAATGGCTCTGCCT